TAATGCAGGTTCTGGTTCTTTTGTTTTGTTGGTTTTGGACAGTTATCATGCTGAGGCAGTTTGTATCTCAGTTTTTGTATATCTTTCTTTCTTGAACTGTGTTTGTTCTTTTGTACCTTTTTTCTTCCTATCTATCCTGCCTAAGCCTAAAGCCTGCATCTTTTCTCTCTCTCTCTCTCTCTCTTAGTACAATTTAAATATTAAACTATGCTTATATCTGTACTTTCTGAAAGTGGCTACTGATGGGAAATGATGAAAAAAAAGAAAGCTTGCTTGCATATAAGATTTCCTCTGCATCTTTATCTTTCTTTGACAGCTTGTGTGCTTTTTTGATATCTTTCAAAATCTTCCTCTTTGATAGCTTTGAGTAGCCTTTTTATTTTCCATATCTTTGCCAAATCTTCTTTTGACAGCTTGGGTAGATTTCTTGACATTTTTGACAGTAAGTTTGTACCTTTTGGATCTTGATAGAAAGTGGGAGTTTGGATTTTAGTTTGGTTGAACTTGAACTATGCAGTTTGACATTTTGAATTTATGCATTTGACATTTTGCATTCATGATAAAATTCTTCCCTCTTTGTGAACCGGGAGAAATCCCGTGATTTGCAGAGAGGGTTAACTGATCCCAATCAGTGGCCCTTAATGATGACTGCAAATTTTATCTGTCTTTAATTAATTATCAGTCACTGACTTTTCTTCTTTTGCAGATAAAAATGGATGGAGGGGTACTAAATGAAGACTGAAGAATTAGAAAAAATAGGATAGTTTTCTTTTTATTTAATATTTAAATTAATGTAAACTATTGTTTGTAATTTAAATTATAAACAATATTTGTACAAATAATTCAAATATCAATAAAAGTCTTTATTATCCAACTAATTCTAATTCTCTTTCTTTATTGTTTATTTATTTATTTAAAACTCTTTGAATTAAAATAATTGAGAAAATAAATTTCAATCACTTAATTTAGAATAATAAATAATTTAAATAAACAATACTTTAGCACGTTGATCAATTAAACCTGTCCTTTCCAATATCCAAAGCAAAGCAGCAGTTAACCAAAATAAACTGATCAAGCGCATTCCCTTTTCACTGATTCTTTTGCCAAGCACTGTAATTCCAAACTGCATATTTCTTTTGACTGACTCAAACAAACCAACATGAATTCAAACCAACTGCCTCTTTTACTGATCAAATCAAAACCATGCGAATTCAACCCGAATCTTGGAAAATCTTGCAAAGTGCTGTGGAATTTTAATCTTTCTGAGAATATGCCCATAAAACCTTAATTCCTGATTAAATGCCAAATAACGTTCGCCTGATCAAAATGCGCCAGAATCAACCACAACCCTAAGCCAATTGTGCGAAACAATCCAGAGCCCTAAAAATCAATAAAAACCCTAATTTTGCTTGACTGTCAAGAAAAGTCCGTTTGTCCGATTTTTTTGAGCCAGTTTGAAAAAGTCAGGAAATGCCTGAAGCTGAGATTTCTTGAGAAAAATGCGAGGGCAAATTTTGGAGTACAACACTATGAATACTCCCTCATGTAATGTTTGATGTTTAAAGAAAAAGAGAAAAAGAGAAAAAGGGGTAGTAGTTTGATGGTTTCAAAGAAGAAAAGGAAGTTGTTAGCGCTTACTCCGAGTGATGATTCTAGGAGGAGATTAGTGCAGATGGCTTCAATTGGCAACTGCGCTGACTACAACTAAAGCGGAGTTCGGTAATGAGCTTACTTATATGCCAGAAATGACATCTAGGGATGCTAATTTTCCTGCTCTCAGACATGGTAGAATGCAGGTAATTATTGATGCAATTATTTAGGTATGTTATTTGGGGAACACTAACACAGATACACTGTCACACTTGCATGCAAACATTGGTTATAATATAAGATAATTGAATGTAATATCATGTGTAGGGAAAATTTCATAAAGAAGAAAACTTTGATTGATTTTTTTTGAGAAAGAGGCAAACTTTTCTATATTGCTTATTAAATAAAATACACTCTTGATCTTTATATAGACCCAATGGCTTTTACGATTCAGAAAAGATAACTACTACTAATAAAAACTATCATAACTTACTAACTTTTGACCTTCCAAATTACGTTGGTTCTTAATCTTCCTACTACCTTATTTAATATGAAAACTTATCACTAATGAAGTTAAAGTTTACTCAACAAAACTCCTCTGTAAACTTAAATGTTTCTTCCATCCAACATTCCTATCATCTTCTTGCCTCTGTCGAAGATCTCTTTCGATTGTGGTTTTGTGAAAATATTTGTTACTTGGTTTTTGTTTGCTACATGCCTCGATTTGACACTTCCCTCCTTCACATATTCACGAATGAAGTGAAATCGAACATCAATATGTTTTCTTCGTTCACGATTCACTGGATTCTTTTCCAATTCGATAGCTGATATATTGTCCACTTGTATTATTGTTGGACCTTCCTGTTTTAGCTCCATCTTGCTTATCAACCTTCTGAGCCATACTTCATGACAGACGCATCAGGATGCTGCCACATATTCAGCTTCACGCGTCGAAAGTGTTACTATAGGTTGCTTCTTCGATAGCCAAGTAAATGGTGTGTTTCCCATGAAGAACACATATCCAGAAGTGCTCTTTCGATCGTCTATATCTCCGCACCAGTCACTGTCAGAATAACAAACTAACTTGTAGTCTTCTGTTTTTGAATAAAACATTCCTAGTGATATTGTTCCTTGGATGTATCTTAGAATTTGTTTCAGTACCTTCCAATGTGTGTGTACTGGCTCCTCCATGAATCGACTTACAATGCAAATACTTAGTGAAATGTCTGGCCTTGTGCATGTGAGATATTGAAGGCTAACTACCAAGATTCGATATTTGCTTCCTTCAACCCGTTCTCCTCCATCAAACTTTGACAATTTTGCACCTGGTTCCATTGGCGTCGAAGTTGGATTGCAATTCTTCATCTTATATTTTTCCAGGATTTCCTTTGCATATTTTTCTTGTGAGATAAAGATTCGAGCTTCTTCTCGTTGAACCTCCAGACCAAGAAAGAATCTCATCAGACCTAAGTCTGTCATTTCGAATTCGCTTGTCATGGTGCTCTTGAAATCTTCTATCATCTGAACATCACTGCCTAAGAAAATAAGATCATCAACATAAAAGCAACAAGTAATACATTACTTTCATTTTTCTTCACATAGAGGGCAGGTTCATAAGGACATTGCTCGAACCCATTCTCTTTGAAATATGTGGCAATGCGTGTGTTCCATGCCCCAGGTGCTTGCTTCAGCCCCTACAGCGTTTTCTTCAATTTCAACACCTTTTTCTCTTCTCCAATTCTCACATATCCAAGTGGTTGTTCGACATAGATTTCTTCTTCGAGCACACCATTCAAAAATGTTGTCTTGACATCCATTTGAAATATTGGCCATTTGAATTGAGCAGCTTGAGAAATGAGTAATCGAATTGTCTCCATTCTTGCAACAGGCGCAAACACTTCTTCATAGTCAATTCCAGCTTTCTGTTTGTATCCCTTCGCAACCATTCGTGCTTTGAATCTTTCGATTTCTCCTTGAGCATTAATCTTTTTCTTGAATACCCACTTTACACCAATAAGTTGACTACCTTTTGGAAATTCGACTAGCTCCCAAGTATTGTTGCGTTCGATTTCTCTAATCTCTTCATCCATGGCACTTTTCCACTTCTTGTCTCGTAACGCTTCTTCGACACTGATGTTTTCAGCATCTTCCAGAAGGCACACAAGATGCACCTCACTTGTTGAATCATATAAATCTTACAAATTTCTCATTTTGGATTGTAGAGGTTCATCTTCATCTTCAGTTTCTTCATGTTCTGTTGGAATACTTGTTGGTACAACTACAGTTGTTTCTTCGACTGCATCAATAACCTCTGTCGAATTGTTCCAGTCCCACTTGCTTATTTCGACGTAGTCGAACCAACAATTTTTTCGAAGCCTGATTCATCTACAGTCCTGAACAACATGTATAATATCGTTTTGTTCTTCGATCGCGTCTCTTTCAACGCCTTCGTTTGAGCTGCCGTATATCCCCCAACTTATGTTGGTTCTTCAAACCCTTCATGGGTTACACCTCAATGCGTCTAGAGATTCAAGAAGAGTTTTCATTTGG